ACGCTTTTAGGTTCATGTTAGGTTCATAATCATCAACAGACATCACTGACTTTCAAATAATGTTTAATATCCACAATTTGTCAAGCAATTCATGCCCTCTCTATATATCTTGATCAAACAATACTTAATACATAATTTGCAAAACTGCAAGATCCCCTCGAGTTCCAAAATGTAAGAATATGTTTGCAGAACTGCACTCACTAAAACAATTGGGCCACCAGTTGGCCATATTGAGACAACCAATATGACGTCCATTAGACTGCAGACTTGTATCTTGCATCATAGAGCATCACTGATAGAAATCAGGTGCTATATAAACTTATATATACAATCTATTATAATTATTATAAATAATAATGAATAAAAATGAAATGAATGCCAGTTTCCATTTTCCATTGTAAGAAAAAATGACGTGAGTCAGTAAGTCATAATACATATTCTTTATGTTAAGCTTGAATGGGATTGATCAAATCAAAATGACAATTAGTGTACAATTACAAATAATATACATGTAGTTATAATTTGTTGAAACATGCATACAAATATTTAATTAGATAGCTACATTGTAAAAATCATTTATTCACAAATAAACAAAAGAGTGACTGATACCCATACATGTATTTCCAGTGTTGAAAGTATCTTTAGTGAAAGAAAACCTCCAAATCACAGAACAAATGTCTTATTAGTATTTCATGAAAAATAACCCATGTTGAACCCCAAAGTAAACTTTTATCACCTATCACAAAATAATCCTACATTTAAAAAAAATTTTTTTCAAGACTTAAACAAGTCATTGTTAATGACATAGCCCCTGTTGGAATAAGGGGAAATATTATTCATGCCAATAATAAGGTAATATGGACCAAAACCATAGTTACTAATGTAGAGTGAATAATTGGCTGGACTATAGTATCAACAGAAATTAGATGTATTAAATGACTCTTCCAAAATCAAAATACATGATGATGCATTTTCTGTATCAAAATTGAATTTCCTTTGTCCAGGTGCATGTAAGGAGATATAGTAGTAGGGTCAAAAAGCAAGATTGCAGGCAGTCAACCATCTTTGAACAGATTGTGAAACTAATTGTCATGGACATGTATTGTAACATGTATAATTTTGAAGAGAAAAAAAATGTCAACAATACATTTTGAAAAAAAAA